AGTCTGTAAGAATCAGAGAGAACTCTCTGCAATTTTCTGTTTAATACTAATTTAATTGTATTTCATTGATTGAAAAAGAGAACTGACAGCTGTGCAGGAGAACTTGGAATCTTCAGAAGTTAAGAGCAGTCCGTAACTTCATTATTCTTTGTTGCGTCACGTCACGATGAAATACATAGTTTCGAAGACAGAGACAGTTATCGATAGAGTTCGCAAGTTGCCAGAGCGTCGTGAATATTTTAAAAAGTTGTGAGGAAATGGCATCGGAAAGAGAATCCAGAACTGTGCAGCTTTCAGCAATCCTACAATTCACCTCTCTTCTCAGAGAAACACAATATTACGTTGAAGAGTAGGTTCATCAGTATTTTATAAAAACTGACTACTTCTGCGAAAGATCACTCGTATTTCTAAATACGAACCCGTCTTTCAAATCGAAATGAATTTCATTCCTAAATTTATCGAAATTTCCTCTGAGAAATAAATTAATCTATGATGTAGCTCTCTTCTCAATAACGTACTATTATATCGAAGAGTAAGTTCATCAGTATTTTATAGAAACTGTACGAAGTATAATTCAAATCTCTAAAGGTAAATTTTTAAATATAAACCATTCTAAATCGGAATAAATTTCATTTATAAATCAAATTCATCTCAGAGAAATTACAAATTATTCTGCAATCTACTTGGTTTCCCGATAACGTGATATTGGATTATTACAAATTATTCTACAATCTATCTCTCTTCTCGATGACACGATCGAAGAGTAAGTATTTTATAAAAACTGACTATTTCTGCGAAAGATCATTCTCATTTCGAAATATAAATTTCTAATCACAAATCCGTCAGTCTATCATTCTGAATCGAAATATATTCCATTTTTAAATCTATCAAATTCCTCTGAAGAAATTACAAATTATTCTACGATCTACCTCTCCTCTCGATGATACAATATTATGTGAGAGTGTAGGCTCATCGGTATTTTTATAAAAACTGACTATTTGTGCGAAAGATCATTCTCATTTAGAAATATAAATTTCTAAACACATCCGTCAGCCTACCACTCTGAATCGAAATAAATTCCATTATTAAATCTCTGAAAAAAGATTACAAATTATTCTGCAATCTACTCTCTACTTCCGACGACGTACGATATTACGTGTCGATGTTTCACAAAAATAGGCTGCCTCTCTAAATAAACGGCGAGCGTTAATCGCGAGGCAACGGAGAACGGTCGAGCGACGATGCTTCGTTAATCGATTATCATTATTAGGTTAGCGACAACGAGCGTTACGAGTTGGCTAGTAAGCGGTTGCGTAGCAAAAGCGAGAGCTTTGTCTCTCTTTCACCGGGTAGAAAACCGTCCATCTGGTTCGGCTCGCCAAGGCGAGCTTTTCGCGCGCGCGATTGTTCCCCGCGCGGGAATGGAAAACAACGTGCGTCACGTGCTCGGCATAGTGAATGGACGGGAACGTTCATTGAATAGTTAAGATCTGCTGGCGTGTTTCCGCTGCTAACGACGACGCGTGTATCGCGCCGAGGCTTTGTTGTTTCGTCTGGTTTGTCGCCGGCTCGCCTGTTTTTTTTTTTCTTTTTTTTTCCATCGTCGGAAAATCGACGTCCCCGTGACGAGCGTGTTTTTGTCTGCGACGAAACGTCTCGTTAATAGACAGACTGATGTCTATTGACAGACTCTTTTTTTTTTTTTTTTTTT